GGACCCTTATGGTGGTGACAACATAAACTATACCTAAGAAAAAGTTGTATTTATGAGATTAACTGATACAAAATAGTTCCTGCCCCACCATTGACTTCAGTTCTTAACTGCAATCCTCAAATATCCATAGGATTTTTTTTAAGTTAAATGTGTGCACGGTCTTTGTCAACAGAGAGATGCAAAATAGTACTAAATTCTTCAGGAACTATCTGAATTCCTTAAATACACATGCAAGTTGCTATCTAATGCATTGTATTTCAAGAGGGTTATTTTGGCAAGACAGACACATGCTATACATGTCTTCTCCAAAGTAAGCCCAATGATGTTAAACAAGACTTGGTCCCATATTAGTTTGTATAGGATTGCAGCCTAAATATGTGTAATGGAAGAATCTATGAATTGCAATAAAACAATTCTGCTTCACAAGACTGTGTCTAAACAGCCATGCAAAAGCAACAAAATGTGGAAACCAGTCTGTAAAATTGCTAGTTTAAGTCATCCTTCATTCCCAGTCTACAAAAAAGCAGTTCTAGACCTGTTAGGCTTGTAAGAGATATACTAAGCAAAAGCAATTTGTCTGTGGGCTCATATGCCATTTCTAATTAGGAATATTCAGTGAAACATACTATTTAAGAATGCCAGAAATATATTACAGATAACTGTTCATAGCAGATGTCAATTGCCTCAATCTAACAGGAAGGAAAATATGACCCAGTGGCTGAAGTTTTTCATGTTTTGGGGTTGGAGGGTCTTCATCTAAGAGCAAGGACTACAAGAGTAAACCATATTGTCTTTGCGATAGTAGCTGATCACTTTGGTAGCACCATAGCAAGACTCTGACTTGGCTTCCATGTGTGCAGCTCTTAGACCAGGCTTTTCTGCTGGGGAAAAATAATACAGCCATTCATATGAGTTGCCTTTGTTTTCTTGTAAAAAGACAGGATATACATGTTTTAAAGACATACAGGAGGTGACAGTACATTCTTATCGAGGATTCTGGGAAATTTCCTGGATAAATTCTATTGCACATAAACAAATGCTGGTGCCCCTCAAATTTTCTCAGATTTTTTGCTTGAGAAAGAACCTCCAAATGGGCTTGACATTTTGCTATAAAAGAAATTTCAATGGCATCTCCACCTCATCTTATCCCTTCACAATCTCTCTAACAGTAGAGCAATACTGAGCGATACGGACTTGTTCAAGGCAATCCAGTAAGCTAAACTGATTGCAGATTATCTGTCCTTCCAGTACTGAAAAAGGCACACTCAAGGATAAGTTGGGAGCTTTCCCTGCTTTGGAAACTCAGGGAACATCTATTTGCAATTAAAAAAAATACTGAAAACCCCCACTCATAAAATTCAGCCACTCTAACAGAATATGCAGTGTGAATTCTTACATTTTGAAATATTAACTGTAACATCATGGAAAGAAGGAACTGTTTTTGTTTTTTTTTGTTTTTTGTTTGTTTTTTTGAGATCGTGACAGCAAAGGTGGGCTTTAGGACTGGGCATGGCAGATGAACACCATAAAGTTAAAAACTTACTTCTCTTCAGGGAGTTCCCATGAAAAAGGAAAATGACATCTTTCCCCTTTCTCATTCTGAACTCACTGTGTTGTACAGTGCTAGAACAAACTGGCGAGGGCATAGTGGCCAGGCACAAACCTAAGCTTTTCAGAAAGACATAATATGGCACAGTGAGAGATATTTGGGGAAAGGTGAAAGAGCAAGGATAATGCTTTCCCCTTTCCCCCTCAGTAAGCGACCAGGAGTACTTCAAGGCTCTAGTTCCAGTCAGGCTGTAGCCCTGGAAAAGTTTGCACAGGGCCGACAGAGTAGTAAAATACTTTGCTGCAAGTCCCCACTTGTTACACAGAAGGGGTTTATGTGACATGAGAATCCCATCTTAGGTTTCAGTGACTGGCCAGCAAACCACTTGGCAAGAACGGCAAAAGCTCAACCAGACCACTGCCATTGCCAGCCAGCCCGCAAGTGCCTAAGTGCCACTGAGGGGCAAGTGTCACAGACTGGAAGTTCCCTGTCAACATCACAAGCACACTCCACCACACCAGCAACTTGCTAAGATGGGATGCACTGATGCTGGGAAGTCTGGCTTGTTTGAGCTCAATGCAGTTTCAACCCATTTCCAATCTGGGAGCATGCTGAGTTTGTGGGGGGAAGGGTCACCTCTAGAGTTTTGCTTTGTTTAATGCTAAGGAAATAGCATTATTTATGCAAACTGGAAGTTGGCACTTATATTGAACTAGCGTGATTTACACTAATTGTGCTAGAACACCATTGTTTTCAGCTTCCAATCTGCAAAAACAGCATATGTGCAAATTTCCTTAGAGTTGTTAAATATGGGCCAAACAAAGTCTGTCTTAGACGTGGAAGTATGTGAGAGCCAGCTAACAAACCCAAATCAGGAGGGCCAAATCCCCTGCCAGATTCCTCATACATCCCTATTTCCAGGTAACTTTCCAAGGTTGTTTTAAAGAACCAGAAAGGTGCGTCAAAATCTTCTCTAGATGAACATTCATCCTTTGCTTGGCAGCATAGTTAACAGTGTAATGTTTACACACAGAAGTCACTGGCGATTTGGAATAGGAAAAGCCCAAACTCTTTTTTTCTCATTTGTTTTCTTAGTTTCAACATATACTTTATTTATTTGAGATTCCTCTTCTCATGAGCTCAGTTAATTTTCTGTACTTGAGACAAGCACCTTGGCCTGATGGTCCTACATGCTTGAAACAGATTTTATCAAGTTGGATTCCTTTTCTTTCAATGCAAGTCTATCACCAGCTGCTTGTCCTTCTGATCTTCTTCCTCATCTGTGTGGCTTTCATCATAAATGCTAGAAATAAATTATAATTAAAAGGTTCAATCACTTTTGAAAAATCCAAATGCAAGTAAGATGGCAACAGAGATATGGAATTAATTATATAAAAGCTAAAGCGATGTGCCATCAGTATAGTTCTTTCTAATGGGCTTGGAGGGGCCTACATCACACTGGATACCCCTAAAAACGGTTTCAAAGCATGGGAACTTGTTTTCATTGTCCCACTTCTTTTTCTACTTAAAATCTTTTTGAAATCTAAAAAATAAAACATAATCACGAAATAAAAATAGACAACATTTTAGTACATTATAATGTAAAACATGAGAACTGTCTCTCCTCCCATCCAGGTAAAATACAAATAACTGCTTAACAACCAGAACAAGACTTTTCTTTTTTGTAAATCACACGTGCAACTGTTATGCATAATAATTCCATTTTTCTCTTAATTTCAGTGAATTAAGCCCCACATAAATCCACACAATGCAAACTTCATAAGAAAAGCACTAAAAAGCTCATTGTGTGCACTGAGTCCCTTTCTCCACCCAGGAAACTCCAACAGGATGGACACCATGTCCCTGCACTGAGGAAAAAGAACCACCTCAGCCACATTACTCTGATACCCACAGCTCCATCAGACAGCAAGAACAAAGAGGACAGATTTCTTGTTTTACAGTGACAAGAAAAGGAGCACTTAAATCTTGAAACAGTAACTCCAAATAGCTACTAAAAGCACAAATAGTACGCGGAACATGCAAAACATGGAGACAATCTTGGGTAGTTTTAGTGTAGAGACCAGAACTCTGTCTTCCTTACTTTTGAAAGGAGATTCAGTTCCATCACATTCATATTAAGACCAAACAGCATGACCACAAGTTTTTCATATTGCTAATATCATATTAAGATCAAACAATTCCTTTAAGCTGTGTCATTGTTTGGGGAATATCAGGACCACAGTGCCTGAGGAAGGCAGCTTAACCCATAGTCCCGACAAGAGTAATCTCTCCCTGTTCACCAGTTTCCATTAGGCTTGGGCAAATAGCTAATAAAGGAGTGGGGATTTCCATCAGCAAAGAAAGAAATTAACATCCACCTTCAGTGCCATTCCAACTCCACACCCGTATCTACTAATATATAAAGCAATTTCAAGTGATACATTCAAGCCCTGAAATAGCCTTCTATCTGTAATAGGGCTAAGTCACAAGTGATTTTCAGTCTAAAATGTGCCTTACTTATAGATTCAGAATATCTACAGTTAGGAAAAAACCTAAGGATAGGCAAAGGGGGATTAGTCAGAGTTCTTTTGATTTAGTACCTTCCAACAAAGAACACTCTTAGAGGAGATCAACCCTGACTGCTCTTTGGAAGGCCAGATCCTGAAGATGAAACTCAAATCCTTTGGCCTCCTAATGAGAAGGAAGGACTCCCTGGAGAAGAGCCTAATGTTGGGCACAATAGATGGCAAAAGAAGAAGGGGACGGCAGAGAATGAGGTGGCTAGATGGAGTCACTGAAGCAGTTGGTGTGAGCTTAAGTGGACTCTGGGGGATGGTGGAGGACAGGAAGGCCTGGAGGAATGTTGTCCATGGGGTCGCGATGCGTCGAACATGACTTCGCAACTAACAACAACAAAACAAAGAACTCAAAGATACTGTGTGAAAATAACCTGCTGGATCTTCTAAAGGTTATGGAACATTTCTATTGTGGAAAGGTAGAAGATGGGGAAGGAGGCTCCATATTTTCAAGCAGCTGTAGGACTGGAATCTGAGAAAGTCCCTGGAATGGCACTGGTGGAAGACAGAAGGTTTGAAAAGCAGAGTGAGAAACTGACTAGGCAGAGCTCTCATTAGAAAATAGGTCCCCTTTTTAACAAAAACTGAAAGGTTAATGCTTTCAATCCTTGTATAATTAAACATTTCTCGAATGAGCTGATAATTAGGAAACAAAGTGTATTAGCAAATAATTAGGAAAATAAATTAACCTACATGGCAGCACCATTCCTCTGGCAGCCATGGTGACTTGCAGTTTGCAGAGAGAATTCTGCACTAAAATGCCACTATACACAGGAAACTTGTTTTCATGCACAAAAGGAACAATGTTGCATTTTGAGTGGGGCTTATTTTAAAATGTTTTGTATCCATTTTTAAAACTTAATAGCATGACTAACCTACCTTATAGTATCACCTTGACTGTAGACTTTTATTTCATTTTTCTGGAAATTGGGAATATTTTGACATGCTACCTTTGAATCTATGTTGAAATCTCCAGAGTTTAAAACATTACATTCTTCCCAAGCATCTGAAAATTTTAATGTACTTTTCAGTAACAAGCAATGGAAACACTTAAAATGCTGAAATTTTCATAGAGCATGAGACAGAACAGGTAGATTTATTAAAGTGTGCTATCTATTAAAAGGGAGAAAAAGACTCCAGTTTGAAAAATATTCATAGAAAGCCTCCAGTGTAATAAAATCCTGTACTATATAACTGCTTCTATTATTATATCCTCCTGGGAATATCCCACTCTACCAGTTCAGTACTTCACTGCTAAATTAAAAGTGACAACAACGATACATGAAAAAGACAAGGTACCATACTGCACAGGGTTGTGCACAACATTTCTTCCTCAGCACTGTGTCACTCCAGCTCATCCTGAAAATCTCATCTTCGGCATGAATTAACAGGGCAAACTCTTGCTGTGCAACTTGCAAGAATCATATACTGGGCACTGACTGAGCACATCTGAGATTCCCAAAGAACTGACACAGGGTAATCTATAATGCAATTTTACTTAAATGCTCACAACACTGTGGGCTGGTTAACTGCTCCAAGCAGTATAACCTGCAGGACTGGCAAATATTAGTATCTCTGTGGTGAATGTTGTTGTTACTTCATTTCTATACTACCCCACAGCTGAAGCTCTTTGGGCAGTTTACAACAGTCAGAGACAGACGATTAAAAATACAACAACATAGCATAAAACTGGAAAAAAACATTATAAAGATTAAAATTACTAAAACAGACAAATGCAAAAAAATGACCCTCCAAACACCTCCTTAAGTCCCTGGGTGGCCACATAAATCTCTCAAGGCCTTGGATAAGATGAGCATCTTGGTCTTGAACAGATGATGACTTCAGTACCAGCAGGACTGCAGTGGGAATGTTCCTCCATAGATGGGGGCCACCATAGAGAAAGCCCTTCCCCTTGTGATCACCATCCTTGGGGCAGCACTCAGAGGAAGGCCCCAGAAGTTGAGTGCAGTGTCTGAGTAGATTGTGGTGGGAAGAGGCACTCCAAGAGGTATTGCAGTTCTCTGCTGTATATAGCTTTACAGGCTAAAACCACCAACCTTGAATTGGAACTGGGAACATATGTGTTTGGACCTACAGTTCCCAGTTATTAATCTGGCTGCTCCATTCTGCACCAGTTACAGCTTCTGAATCATCTTCAAGGGCAGCCCCCACATAGCCAGGTTATCCTTTTCCAGATAGAAGCATAGCTGGGTCCCAGCCAAAGCTGATAGAAGGCACTCTGAGCCCCTGAGGCCACCTGAGCCTCAAGTGACAAAGATGGATCAAGGAGCACCCCCAAGCTATAAACCTACTCCTTCAGGTGGAGTGCAACCCCATCAAGAACAGGTTGGACACTCCATCTGGTTAAAAGAACCACCTACTAACAGCATCTCAGTCATGCCTGGATTTAGTTTCAGTTTGTTAGCCCTCATCCAGTCCAGTGTCGCAGCCTGACACTGGTTTGGCCTATGAAAATAACTAATACTCAAACCATTCCTCTACTCAAACACCTACCAACTGCTTTTTAAATTTTTTTCCTTTAAAAAGACAGGGGGATAGACAGGGAAAGGAGAGCAGGATTCCTAAGAAAGATCCACTTAAGCTGAACAATCATCTGATGAGTACAACCTTTGTATCTGTGGCTCAGTGGAATGCCCCACATTTTGAAAATAGCAGGAACAAGAGTGAAACAAATCTACACTTGGACCAGCCATTTATGTCTTTTCTCCTTGCTCAAGATTGCCCAGGCAAGGCCATGAAAATTGGAGAACCGGTGTTGCTCAAATTCCAATAAAGCAGGTTGCTTACCTGTAACTGATGTTCTTCGAGTAGCCATCTGTGCAGTCACACATATGGGTACTGTGCCTGCGCAGTGCCTGTGGCTGGAAGATTGACAGCTAACGGTTTTTGGCGGGAAGCTCCGCTCCCCCTCCCCTGTGGCCTATAAAGAGCGGAGCATCCACCATTTTGTTCAGTCTTTGTGACCGAACGTACGCTATCTTATTGAAAAAACTTTGTTTGTTTTTTGATGTCAGTACCGTGAAAAAGGGCATAGTCGGTACCGAAAGATGCATTCACTCACCGACGCCGAGTGGTCGATGCATCCACTCACTGACACCGAGCAGGGCCGGCGGGTGGGTTGTGTGACTGCACAGATGGCCACTCGAAGAACATCAGTTACAGGTAAGCAACCTGCTTTTCTTCGTTGTGGCCTCTGTGCATCACACATATGGGTAGATTAACAAGCTTGCCATAAAGGAGGAGGGAAGGTGTCCTCATTGAAGAACAGAGGAGAGAACAGCTCTACCGAAGGAGCAAGCCCATCGAGCTCGAATATCGAGACGGTAGTGCCTGGCGAAGGTGCAAGGGTTCACCCAAGTAGCGGCTTGGCAGACGTCATCAATCGGGACCCAAGATGTGAATGGAGATGAGGTTGCAACAGCTCTAGCAGAATGGCCTCAAGGAACTGAAGGCAGTTCAAACTTAGCTCATTGATAGCATAAGACTATAGTGTGGACTATCCACTTAGAAAGTCTCTGCGGAGTGACTGGATTGCCCTGATCCGTAGCAGAATATTTGATGAATAGTTTATTGGCTCGTCGAATAGACTCCATTCGCGATCGGTAGAAGGCTAAGCAACGGCGAACATCGAGTGAATGCAAAGATCTTTCCAATGGAGTCGACGGTGACGGAAAAAAGGCAGGCAGCACAATGTCTTGTCCCGTATGGAAAGGTGTAGACACTTTAGGCAAAAAAGACGGGTCGAGGCGTAAAACGACCTTGTCCCTGTGAAAGCTTAAATAAGGAGGGTCTATGCGAAGCGCGCAAAGTTCACTGGCCCTCCGGGCTGAAGTGACAGCTACAAGAAACGCCGTCTTCCAAGAGACCAATTGAAGATCCACCATCGCCAAAGGTTCGAAGGGGGCCTTCATAAGGGCCTGTAGAACTACAGAGAGGCTCCATGTGGGCATAACCGGTCTAATTGATGGGTTAAGATTATATAGTCCCTTCAAAAATCTTTTGAGGATAGGATGAGAAAACAGAGGTGACCTGTCGACTAAGCCACGGTAGTAGGCTATTGCGGCTGTATACACTTTAATGGACGACAGCTTCAGTCCAGAATGGTGCAATTCCAGGAGGAACTGAAGAATCTGTTGAATGGATGAGAGGAATGGAGAGAATGAACGCGACTCGGCAAAGGTGGAAAAATGTTTCCATTTAGCCTTTTATGACTTCCTTGTGGACGGCTTTAAGGCAGAGTCGATGATATGCAGAATATCAGGGTGCAAAAACGTCGGATTTGGATTCGACGGGTCTTGTCTCGAACCAGACAGTACAGAGAGACCAGAGAGGGGGGAAGCACCCAAGTGATTGGGTTCAACAATCGGATCCGAGGTGGTCGAAGTCATCGTCGGTACCAACGGATTAGTAGAAGCTGTTGGATTCGTAACTTTCGAAACCGTCGTCGGCACCGATGGAACGTCAGTCATCGAATTCGCCACGCTGTTAGGTTCAATGAGAGCAAATCTGGGTGGCAAAGTGTGCCGTCCACCTGTGTTATAAGATATGGGAGCGATGGAAGATGAAGAAATTCCCCGCGAGAGATGTCGAGTAGTTTCGCAAACCACGTTTGACATGGCCACCAAGGGGCAACTAGTATCCCGGATGCTCGGTCGTGCACTATCTTTGCTATGACCCTCATCAGAAGAAGGATCGGAGGGAAGGCATAGAAGTTCATATTGTTCCAAGGGATCATGAATGCGTCCCCTAGGGATGCGTGTCCGATTCCCACTCTCGAACAGTAAGCCTCGCACACCCTGTTCTGTTGGGTAGTGAATAAGTCCACATCGGGAAACCTCCAGCATCGGAAAAGGTGGTTGCGCGTACAGGGATCCAGTTCCCACTCGTGAGAGGTGAACATGTGCCTGCTGAGAAGATCCGCCTGCACATTGTCTACACCAGCTAGATGAACAGCCATCAGCATGATGTGTCTCCGGATGAACCAGTCCCAAATTTTCATAGAAAGCCTGGCTAGAGGCGGTGACTTTGTTCCCCCTTGCTTGTTCAGATAAAAGATGGTAGCTATATTGTCCGAAGTTATCTGAACGATCTGATGATGAAGGATGTCCTCGAAAGAGCACAGGGCTTTGAAAACTGCCAGTAGTTCTAGGAAGTTGATATGATTCGTGGATTCTAGACGATTCCACATACCCTGGGTAGATAGGCCGGAGCATATTGCTCCCCATCCTAGAAGAGACGCGTCGGTGCCAAGGGTAATCGTAGGAGGTCGCGCCCTGAAGGGGACTCCTATCGTAAGATTGGTCTGTTCCAACCATCAACACAGAGAGTGAAGCACGGAAGTTGGGATCCGAATCACTCTCGACTGCGGATCTCTTTGAGGATGGTACACCTTGTTGAAAAAGAGTTGCAGTGGGCGAAGCCAAAGCCTGGTATGTGGAACTACGGCAACTGAGGAAGCCATATGCCCCAGGATCCTCTGGATAGATCTCGCTGGGACGGTTCCCTCTCGTCGGATTCGATGGATGTGGCAAGCAAGAGTCTGTTGTCTGTCCTGAGGAAGGCTTTTTCCAACGTCGAATCCAAGCGGGCTCCAATGAAGGTGAGCGTCTGTGTCGGGAGAAGAGAAGATTTCTCGGTATTAATACGTAGGCCTAGGCTATTGAGCAAGGCACAAGTTGTACGAATGGCCGCAAGGAGTCCTTCTCAGGACCGCGACACCAACAGACAGTCATCGAGGTACAGATAAATTTGTATGCCCTGGAGGCATAGGAAGGCACAGACAGGAGCCATGCACTTGATAAAAACCCTCGGAACCGTAGCCAGTCCAAAAGGCAAAACTGTAAACTGATAAAGTTGGTTTGCAATCGCAAAATGAAGGAAACGCCTGTAACTTGGATGAATTGAAATATGGAAGTAGGCGTCCTTCAAGTCCAATGAGGCGAACCAATCCTCTCTCCTTAGCAACGGCAAAATGTTTTGAAGGGTAGTCATACGAAACTTTTTTGGTACAATAAACTTATTTAAGTTCCATAAGTCCAAAATCGGACGTAGACCACCATCCTGCTTAGGGACCGTGAAGTATCTGGAACAGAATCCGTGGAGTCCGTCAGATGGGAATACTTGACGAATCGCTCCTTTACGAAGAAGTTGATGTATTTCGTCGAGCAGTACTGGTGAACATGAAGTAGACCGGATTGGACTCGACGGAGGAACCATGTCGAATTCTATTCGATAGCCGTGTTGAACGATGGACAATACCCACCGATCAGATGTGATGGACTCCCAAATGGGGAGTTGGCTTTGAAGCCGATCCCCAGATGAGAGAGTGGTGGGTATTGGTGGAGCCTGAGGAATGGTTCGCCAGTCCCGTCAACGTTGCCTCCGATCGTCGAAACGACGGTGGCCTTGTTGGAAGCGTTGTTGGGGCTGAGGACGGCGACGCTGCTGTTGCTGTTGCTGGCAGTGTTGTGGCTGCTGCCTCGGTTGATATGATTGCCTGTAGGATGGACGATTCCAGGACCACTTACGTCTGGCGTGGGACTGCATCTCCATCCTGTGTGCCGTCATCCTCGATTCATGCAGCTTCTTGAGCTTGTGGTCGGTGCGAGAATGGGAAAGCCCGGATCCATCGAAAGGCATTTCCTCGATCCGGCGCTTGGCTTCTTCTGGAAAATTACAATTCTGAAGCCATGCATGCCTTCAGAGAGAAACGGCACTGACCAAGGCCCGTGAGTCAGTATCCACGTGGTGCCTCGCTGTGGATAACTGCTGCACCGCGACCTGCATGGCTTCTTAATCAGAACCTTCGCAAGGTCACCCTGGTGGTCCGGGAGGGTGGAGGCGACGTTGTGCAGGCGCTGCATAATAAAGTATTGATACCTCGCCAACGTCGCCTCGTAATTTGATATACGGAGCCCCAGGCCTGAAGCAGCATAGACTCGCCTAGCCAGGGAGTGTATTTTTTGGCCCTCTTTATCCCTCGGTGCCGTGTGCCCTCTCGCCTCTCTGCCCTGTGAGGATTCGATGACCGCAGAGTTCGGTTTGGGATGTCGGAGGAGGAAGGGGATGTCCTCCTCCCGAACCCTGTACATCGACTCATATCTCCTAGATGTCGGCTGAGGATGTGATGGCAAGTCCCAAGGCTGCGTCATCACCTGCTGCAAGGTGGTTATGAGCGACAGGGCGATGGATGTCGATTGCTCCCTGCGGACGATATCGTAGAACTTGTTCGGCGTCGGTCCCGGGCGCTGGGCAGTGTCGATGTCCAGGGACTGGACAAGTCTAGACATCAGCTCTGCGAAGGAGACGTGGGACTCATCAGGTGATGCAGGACCCTGGGATGTCACAGCGACGTCTGAAGAGGTTGAGTCGACCTCCGAGTCAGCCAGATCGGCACCATAGTAGGCTGGGGCCGAAGAAGATGACTCCGGGGAGAAGGAGCGGCTGCTTCCACCCTGCGGGGATCGAGGTGACGCCTGCCTTGGATCCAATAAGCGCGGTTGGTCACAGGATGGAGGAGAGGATCGTGCCCTGGGAGCAGGGTAGTACCCTACAGAGAGCGGATCACCCCAAGTATGGTAGTAGGGGCGACGCCAGCTCTCCGGATGTTGCTCTACAGAGTGGCTCCTCCGGCTCCCCGGTGGGGACAGTCCAACATCCGCTTCCGTTGTGACAGCCGGCATGGGTGTCGGTGACCTAACCCTAGGAGGGGAGTCCTGGATTTCCCCGTTGGATATTGAACCCCGTAGAGTTGGAAGGGGTGCAGGCGGGAGGTCAACCACATGGCAGGGAGACCCTTGAAGGGTAACCCGCATAGCCTCCTGGAGGACCGGTTAAGGCGGAGTCAGTACCATAAGCACCACCGGTACCGAGGGGCCCATCGGATCTGAGTCCCGATGTTGGGGACGGTCCGGACAGTCCGAATTCCTGGGTTTCTTGGGAGGCTTGGAGACCTTCTCTTTCCTGGCCTTTTTATGGCCTGCCAACTTCTCGGATTCGGCATGCTTTCGCTTTCCATGCTTCTTTTTAGGTGAAGCAGAGGGAGCCACCGAAGCAGACACACCTTCATCCAAAGGCCGTGAGGGTGGGGCCACAGAAGCAGAGCCAGGTTTTGGGACGGCAACAAGCAGGTCTGATTGCATCAGAGCCCGATCCCAAAGGAGTCTCCGGAGGCAGTTTTCATGGTTCTTCCTGGCCTGCTTGAAGAAGGCCAGGCAATGCGTGCATTTATCCGTCCTATGCCCCTCTCCCAGGCAGAGGAGGCATAGGTCATGCGGGTCAGTTGGTGCCATTTTTGACCCACAGTCCGCACATTTGTGGAAAGCCGCTCGCTGTGCCATCACAAGAAGAAGAAGAAGAAGAAGAAGAAGAAGAAGAAGAAGAAGAAGAAGAAAGGGATAGTGCAGAGGGTAAGTGTGTGTGTGTGTGTGTGTGTGTGTGTGTGTATTTGTTTTTTTTCA